TGTGCGATATGCATCTAACGACATACGAATGGTTTGGAACGCCTGGTGCTTTGATGCAGAAACATTTACACATACATGCATACACAGACGTAAAGGTATGTATGTATGTACGTACGGACGCAGGTACATATACGTATTATTGTGTGTGCGCATGCTTGTGCGTGCATGAAAGCAACTTCATACGTGCATGACATTAACATTTACCCGTGCATGTACGTTCACACGTACATCTATGCATACGCGCAAAAAACACACGCAAATGCCAAGGTACGAACATACATACGTATGCATGTATTTATGTATCATACACACATGCATACACACTGCATCATGATCTTCATACCAATGTTTTGCAAATACCGACATACATGAATACGTACACACAATTCTTCGCTGCGATGGGACCCGTCAAAAAACAAAGGCCTTAACAAGAGCATGATGCTCCGAGTTGTTAAAGCTCCTACACTACTTAGACTGAGACATCCTTCACCACAAGAGAACCGAGGCTCCAGCCACGGTCACAGCCGCCACGTCCGGAGTGTCAGTGAGCTGCCACTCCCTCAGCACATTTCGCTTTTACTGCTGGCTGGCGGAACCTAAATTTACGGGTTTCATGTTCAGCGGACGTTCTCGTTTCCGGTCTGAACCAGGACTTGCAGCTCGTTTTACTATTTGTTCACGCTCGTGCAGGGCGACTGAACTACGGACTGCATCGGCACATATCGGCACTCTTGTCTTCCAGCTGCCGGATCGAGAACGAGCGTCTTTGATGGTCTGACACTTGATTTCACTTGAATAGCGATCGCATCGCGTCTGCAGGCATTTCTGGTGGCACTAGTGATGCTACTACGGCGATAACCGGGGTATTACTAGCGTCACCCGTGCTACAGCGACGACCATCTCTCCTGCTGCTGCACCTACGAGGGATGGCGACAGCGGTAGTGCAGCAGTATCATGTGCACATTGGCGTTGTGTGGGGAGCCGATTTAGCAGCTCAGATCTGGGTGGCCCGACTGGCTGTCGCTCTTTGCGGCATCCAGACGCAGCTCCGAGAGCCCATCCTTCATCGGCGTTTTCAAAAGCACAGGAGAAGGAAACCTCTTCTTTTTGAGAGTCTTTAGGACAGGGACGGGGGCAGTCGCGGCTTGCCTCCTAGGGAAAGCAGGAGCAGTGTCAAATGCAGAGCTTCATGGCGATTCTAGTCGTAGATGGAAAGCTAGCAGTCGGTTTTTCCGTACGAAACGACATGCAACCAGAAAAAGTCATTCCATCGCAATCGTGAAGCCACAAGATGTCAGTGCTGCCGACAAATCCCCCCAGTAGGAGCATGCTGGGGTTGCCTCGTTCAAGACAGTTCGAAGTGTGTAGAGCCTGCCGGGAGCGGCACCGGCTTCGGGAACTGGCTTCTCTCACGATCTCCTGCTTCTCACAGTGCAACCACCATTACAGAACTATGGGCATTCAACATGACACTAAAAGTCTGAGGCATCCAAACTTCCAAACAAGCTGATGTGCACCCGTCGCCGGACATGACACAAGTCCACGGCATGAGCTCAGCCAAGCTTTTATGCCCCAACAAATGCCCAAAGCCTGAGCACCTCAGAACTTACTACAGCTTATAGATTATAGGACGGCTCATGACAGGGATCTTTTTCCCTCTTACTTAGCAAGGACGAGGCCCACATTGCAGGGTACTTTGGTTGAACAGAGGAAGCGGCTATAGTTTCCCAGCCAATTTCTACTTTCCAACTCCCTACAGAAACACGTCCGGATACACGGAAAAGTCATGCGTGAAGCAGCTGGCTTATGCTGCCAGTTAACCTCCGCATCTGGATGCTTACTTCAACTTATGTCGAAACGGATGGAAGCACCTGCCATCTTTTCCGATAAAAGCTGCAGCGTTGCCGGAATTGAAGATGCAAACCGGCTGGCGAACCTGACAGGGCAAAGAACACGACGTCCCAGAAGGCTGACCCGCTGTCGTCGAGAACACAACGCACTTCTCACAATGTACCCTCATGCGACATCGACGTCATGAGTGCTGCTATCCTCACGCCACCGGCAATATCAGCTGGCTATCCCGTTGCACAGAGATGGTAATCAAGATCTTACCGCCGGCTTCAGGACCACAAGACCCCCGAGGCCATTGCACCGTTGGCCAGCCAGTGCAAGATCGATTCAATCTGGGCTGATGCTGACGCATGAAGACCTACGGTTACATTCGATTTGGGTGTTTTCTGTAGCATCCCATCCAAGAAGAATAGCCATACATCAAGATTCTGCCGCTGAAGAAGGGTTTTTTGCTCTCCACATAGCCCACCTTGGGCTCAAGACGCGTGCTTGTGAGGCTGATATCAAGGCTGATCCTTTGTACCAGAGACATGTTGAATGAAGCCGGTGGGGGATGCGGTGTACCTTTATCTCTACAGTTTGCACATGTATACATATATATATATATATCCATCTTTCTATCTATCTACGTCTAAGCCTCTATATTTGCGCTAGATCTAAATTTACATCTATATATGTATCTATTTATATTTTTACGTTTCCATCTATATGTGCATTTCTTTCTCGATTGTTTCATCTTTCTTTAGTCTTTCGCCATGTCTAGGGACAAGGGAACTGGCTCTCTTTCTCCCTCTCCCTCCCTCTCTCCGCGTGCGTACATGTATGGTATGTCTCTCCATCTATCTATCGATACATATACATATATATATATATATATATATATATATATATCTATATACACACACACATATGTATATATGCTCTCGGGTCCCGGGCCGCCACCCCCCCCCCCCCCCCGGCCCCCCATGGTATCCCCCCCACCCCCCCGCTGCTGCACGCCCACCCACCCTGCACCCCGGCTCGCCCCCCCGGCCCGCACCTTGCCCGCCCCTTGACCTTGTGCGCGGATCGGGAGTGTCGCACTATGCCCTGCCGTGTGCGGATAGCGGCAATCGGCTCAGTAGTTTCCAGCATCTGACATGAATTGCAATGCTGAATTATGAGGCTTGTATGGCGATGGTGATGGTGGCAGATATTCTTTTGAAGGTGTGAATGATGAAGGTGACGACGACAAGGGTGATGTTGAGCATGGTCTGATTGTCGACTCATGTCCCGGTCTAGAGCAGCACAACATCTTGAGCAGTATCACCGGTGCCACAGCAAGAGGGAGACAAGGAGTAACACATAAGAACGTCGCGGCAAAAAGAGTACCACCACAGGCCCCACACCACAGGGGGGGCGGGGGGGAAGGGGGGAGGATACCATGGGATGGGGGGGGGAGGGGGGGTGTGGCAGCCCTGCATCATATATAAACGGGGAACCACCACAGCTAAGGCTCACACGACCGTGAAGCCGCCGGGGCAAGTTGTACCTCCGTGCATGAAACCGCGATTTTATTAGAATCCTGGACTCTTGGTTCTGTTAAGCTATGTGCCGAATCCTTGCTGTGCTCAACATGTCTCTTCTCACCACCACCCCGAAGTAGACACGTCGACGAAACCGTCTTCAGAGGGCTCACAGAGGCTTCCGCACTCACTCTCGGCCAAGTCAGACGAGGGTTCAGGACTCCGACGGCATAGAAGGAAATCTCTGAGCCCCAAGGAGTTTCAGAACGCTGAACCCCAAAGACTGAAAGATTGTTCTCTCTGCTTGGTCCAAGACCCACGGCCAGCACAGGAATGCCGCGGAGCCTGCGTTCTTAACGCTGATGTTAGAACCGTTGTGAGTGTGAACTTCTTCTCATGATGACAGAAGCTTTCTTCAGCATGCACTTCCCACTTGGAGGTTTAGCTTCAAGGTACCATTCCTCAGCGGAGAGCTGCAGTGGAAAAGGATGGAAGAAAACTCAGGTGAATCAGTGCTACACCACTCCGCGGACACACCGGCTGTCTGTAGCAGACTTCGACCTCTCGAAAGTTCAACCTCCAAACCGGACCGGAAAGTACAATCCACAACCACAAGCAGATCCGAAACCCCCATACCCCTGATTGCCGTGTATCTCCACCACCCCTTGGCCCTGATGAGCCCGCGGCTGCTGCTCCAGGGTTTGAGCCAGGAGCGAGACCATGGGAACAGCCGCCCATGGGCCAGAGACACACCGAGGCGTCAGAGTCGGAAGGGGAAGTTCAGACTTCGCAGCGATACAGGACTAGTGGGTTGCAAGGTTGAGGGCTCAGCTTCTTAGGAGGTGCTGGGTCGCGGTGAGACTGGGTGAGTTCGCGCTCAAGAGTTGGTCCGTGTGCTACATTGTCCGAGGTGGGTAGTGTTCTCAGGGCTCTAGATGATCATGCGGGTCGGGGGTGGCCTTCCAGGTACAAGCCGGGCAGCAGCGACGGTCATGCCAGGCTTCTCCAAGCCGACCCTGAATGCATTGTCTCTTTCTGTTGCCTTGCAGTGACACTCGCCTCTCCTCCTGCCGATCTGCCTGTCCTGGATTGGTTCCGAAAATTGCATGCCCAAATCGCAAGATACAATCCCATGCAGAGCCATGTCTTGTATATCTCTTTTGAACTTTACAATATGTTTAGCCACATGCCGTGCGACTACCGCATTCCCTCCTTTTGAAGAGTTTGACCATTCCACCCGTGTCGTTGCCCTTCCAACGGACACGGATGATCTGCCGGACAGCTGCAGTGAGTGGCTCCATCGCAGGGCAGCCAGTGGCGGACAGCTCGAGACTCTGTGCCTTCAATACCTTTTCTCACGGGTGGTGCTCGACAGATGGCGGCAGAAAACTGCTCGTGCGCGGACTGCGGGGCAATGGCAACTTTGCACCATATTGGGGACGAGCGGCTGATATGATGCAACATGATACAAGCCCATGTGCCTGGCTCGGTAACTTCTTAACTAGAGACTTTGGCACACTATGATTGCCCCGCACCGACAGCGGGCATGGAAAACCATCCTCTGGGATGCAGTGCAACGTCTGCAACTGTGTGACCGAGCGGAAAGCACTCGAAATGACCCGCTGCGCTCGGACTCGCACAATTTCAGGTGAACAGGTGGTAAGGGATTGCCTTCTGTGCACGTTTCAGCAGGAGCTCCTCCAACAGGGCATGACCTGTCAGCTTCCTACATGTCCTCGAGGTTTTTGGGCTCAGGCCGTCAAGGTGTCCATGTTTCGGTTTCTCAGGGCCCGAGTACATCTCATGCAAAATTTGTATAGGATCGAGATACGCAGGGTCGGCCGGGGGACACCCTTTCGAACCCTGTTTGGTGGGTCCGAAAGGGTGGTTCCCAGGGTCTCCCGTAGATCTGGCCGGACCCTTTCGGACCCACCCATTCGGACCCTGCTGGTAGTCATTGAGTCTGCGTCGGGCTCGGCTTGAATTTGGGTATGGCTCAACATAGTTTTCATGATATTCAGCATGGTTTCCGCATATATTTTTCCAGCACCCACGCAGAAGTTCACAGAAGTAGCAGGCAGCGGGCCTCGGGACAAGGCGCACACTCAAGCTTCCCAGGCCGTGGTTGTTTGCTCGGGTTCCTACCTAAGTTCGCGGGGCCTGCGCAAAAGCATCCAGAAACTCAAAATCCAGAATCCTTGGAAGAGCCCCTGAACCCATAAACCCCGAAACCCAGAAATTATTAACCCTTATGTCGCTTATGTCCCGCAGTAACCCAAAACCCCAAACGCAGAAACCCTAAACCCAGAAAGCCCTTGAACCCAGATACCCACCAAGCCCCCAAACGCAGAAGCATTGTACACAAGCGCCTGAACTCAGAAACTGAAAACCCAAAACCACTGAACAGAGGAACCGGTGAACGCAGAAACCCTACACCCAGAATCCCAGAAACCCTGAGCCCATATCCCAGAAACCCTAAACCCAGAATCCCAGAAACCCTGAGCCCATAGCCCAGAAACCCTAAACCCAGAAACCCAAAACCTTGTGCTCCAAACCCTTGAACTCAGAAGCTAACAACCAAGAACACCTAAACCCAGAAGTTCTGAACCCCCAAATCTGCGAGTAAGCCCAGAAACCCTGCACGCAGAAACCCTAAACCCAGAAAACTCCTGAAGCCAGAAATGCAGAACCCAGAAACCGCAAACCCCGGAAGCCGCAGACATCATAACCTGAAACCCAAAATCACCGAACCGAGAACCGCTGAACCCAGAAACCGCAAACACCCAAACACAGAAACCCTGTAGAACCCAGAATCCCTAAGCCCTTAAACCAAAACCTTAAACCCCTGGACGCTGCACCGAAGCACAATAGCGGCTTGAAGCAAGTCACATGTCGTGCTCGAATCGAGTGGCCGACATGCCGACGCCACAGGGGCGACGCCGGGCGTCGCAACAGGAATCCACCGAGCGGCGCCCGGCGTCGCCCACACCTGTGGGAGCGGGGTGACGCCGGGCGCCGCTCGGTGGATTCCTGTTGCGACGCCCGGCGTCGCCCCTGTGGCGTCGGCATGTCGGCCACTCGATTCGAGCACGACATGTGACTTGCTTCAAGCCGCTATTGTGCTTCGGTGCAGCGTCCAGGGGTTTAAGGTTTTGGTTTAAGGGCTTAGGGATTCTGGGTTCTACAGGGTTTCTGTGTTTGGGTGTTTGCGGTTTCTGGGTTCAGCGGTTCTCGGTTCGGTGATTTTGGGTTTCAGGTTATGATGTCTGCGGCTTCCGGGGTTTGCGGTTTCTGGGTTCTGCATTTCTGGCTTCAGGAGTTTTCTGGGTTTAGGGTTTCTGCGTGCAGGGTTTCTGGGCTTACTCGCAGATTTGGGGGTTCAGAACTTCTGGGTTTAGGTGTTCTGGGTTGTTAGCTTCTGAGTTCAAGGGTTTGGAGTACAAGGTTTTGGGTTTCTGGGTTTTGACACTCACACTCGGGCAAGCCTGGCGAGGTCTGTAGCGATTAAGGACGAACATACAGGATCAACTTCAAGCCGATTTCACTTGAAGCCAGGCTGTTCATGCCAGGGTTCATGGGCTCAGGGTTTCTGGGATCTGGGTTTAGGGTTTCTGGGATATGGGCTCAGGGTTTCTGGGATTCTGGGTTTAGGGTTTCTGGGTTCAGCGGTTCCTCTGTTCAGTGGTTTTGGGTTTTCAGTTTCTGAGTTCAGGCGCTTGGGTACAATGCTTCTGCGTTTGGGGGCTTGGTGGGTATCTGGGTTCAAGGGCTTTCTGGGTTTAGGGTTTCTGCGCTTGGGGTTTTGGGTTACTGCGGGACATAAGCGACATAAGGGTTAAGAATTTCTGGGTTTAGGGGTTTGTGGGTTCAGGGGCTCTTCCAAGGATTCTGGATTTTGAGGTTTTTGGATGTCTCTGGATTTTGGTGTATAGGTTTCAGGGTTTAGGTTTTCAGGGTAAATGTTTTGTACCACTCGCAAGCACACCTATTCTCTCATATTCTATGACCCCCATACAAGGCACTCCGGGGGTCTACAAGGTATTTCAATGCCTAGTGCCCCCCCCCGTCAGCCACCCCCCAAAAGGCATTCTTTCGGTGCGGTGATACCGCAGGACTACTGCAGGCAAGTTAAATCTGGTTTTAACTGGCTTGCTTTTCTAATATCTGAGGTAGGGTCCGAATGGGTCGGGCGACCCTTTCGGACCCTGTTCCCAAGGGTACCCAGGGCCACCCTTCCGGACCCTGGATAAATCGAGGGTATAAATTTGTCAATCCTCGCGACTTGTAGCACACCAAGCTCTTAAGCCCCGAAATGCGCAAAGAAGCGGGCCTGCCAAGACCCCGGTGGTTTCAATCTTCAGGTCTTTTCGCTCGGCCAACACTCCTGGAAGGCTCAGCGGATCACCAAGAACATTCGACCAGAACGACCTGTAGGCCCTGATGGAGCTCCTTCCACGATCTTGGCGATGTCCCCTCCAGGACCTGCATGGCGCCCTTCCTGCGGCAAAGCAGGACGAGTGAGCCCTTCCTAGATTCGAGCGATCTTCCGATAGGAGACGTGTTGCAAGAGAGCTAAACAATCACAGTGCGACTTCGGCCATTTGCGAGCCGAAGGGTTTTAATCTTCTGGAGCCCGACCTCGATGTATCCGAGTCCTCGACCGTTGGTTGAAACCAACCGGGCCCATGCCCAAGTCCACAATGTCCACAAAATGCATCATGCCAATAGCCTATGCTGCGCAGAGGCCTTGAGGCTGATGCGACGTTTTCAACATAAAATGGTAAGTGGACCGGCCATGCATTCAGCGATCACGAAAACGGCTGATTTTGGAATTCGGCCGCTCAATCAACCTATGTAGAAAGTGTGGGGCTGGGGGCACATGGAACGGAGTGCTCCGTCACAGGCTCATGCTCAGAAGCTAGCAGACCTTCTACAACAGGACATGCGAGGTTCACTGGGTCCTGCAGGAACAAAAGCGCCACCTTCGCGAATGCCCCTGGAGGCAGGTCCTGATAGCTAAACGTGAAGCACTCGTGAAGCTCTCGCAACCAAAGTCCCCTAATTACTTATCAACCTTGTAAACGCATTGCTTTCACCTGGCATCTCTCTCTCTCTCTCTCTCTCTCGCTCTCGCTCTTTGTTGCCTTGCTCAGGGGCTTGGGAGGCAGGCAGTCCCTGCCCCCCGCTCTGGGGAGCTTCCCCATCCCGTCATTTTGACTGGATGGGCTTGACTGTACTGTGACTGTACAAGTGTTTGGTGCCCATGTTCGAAAACCTGTGCCCCCCACGACAATGAAACTGTGTATCCACGAAGAATTCCCTGGGCACCTTGGTCACTCGCTGGGGCTGGTGCCCTCTCCTGTTGGGCTGTTGCCCTCTGTAATTACTGGTTTGACACAAGTCCAAAAAATCTGCATTGCTATGGACCTTTTGATCTGCCGGCTCCACCGCATTCCCCGTGTTCGGCTCCTTCGGGCTTATATGGATGATAATTCCACAGAGGGTAGCAGTGTCGAGTGGGTGGCACAAGCGCAGAATACATTCATTGCCCTCAAAAACGCAGGGTTTCATGTCCTGCAGCACACATGCTTTCGAGGTGGGAAGCTTCGGTCGCTGGACATGCCATGCGAACGCGTCAACGCTGCGGCAGGCATCCTGCTCCTGAGTGAAGTCGAAGCTGCGCAAATCGTCTGGGACGAGGACTATTGTAGCGACATTCAAGCCTCTAGCTTCTCTCAATGGTGCAGGCAAATACAAAGGCTGTATCGAGCCCAGCAAGGTCCCGTGGTTGAATGGTACAATTGTACGTCGGGATCAGTTGCGGGTGCCCCGACACATTCTTGACTCGTACGCGGGAGGGCATTTTGAGGACGACGACGTGATTCCCGCCTCACTCTTGTCCGGCCCGTGCAGATGCAAGTGCAAGTCATCGCTCATGTTCTGCGTTTTGCCTTCCAAGGAGCAATTGATCAAGTTGGATCATACACCGTGGGGACCCAAATTGTGCACGGACCGCGCCACTGTGCTTGGCTTCTCTCTGTCGGGGGCACCGATGGCCGTAGGGGAAGAGATAGCGGCGCCCGTGCTCCCAATCCAGCAGCGGCAACTCACGGGCAGTAAAGCTCTTTCGAGCATTACTCGCAAAAGACGGCTTTTTGAGCCCCTCAGACAATCGCTCCCGGAGCGCTCACTATGCTGCCGGGCCCCTGTCTAGCTGCTTGCACTACACACAACAGGTAATACCGCCAGTTGCCCTTACCCAGGAGCGCATCTTGGCTGCTAATGCTAAGTTTGTCTTGGGACACCGCGCATGGCTTCAGTCGAAGCATTTTGAAGGCGTATTTAGGATCTCTAGGCTGCCCCAACCCGGCTCGTGGTTTTACGGTGCGCCGGCGAATCGCTTAGGCTTCCTATTGCGCTATGAGCCCAGGCTCACACTCATGGCCTTAGGCGGTGTAGTGGGGCAGGTGCAGTATAAGCGCCCTCTCTTGTATCGACTCTTGCGTTCTGTCGTTGCTAGCTTACTAAGCTTTTTTTTGTCACTCGTGCTCGACAAGTCAGACGAGGCTTACTAAGCTTACAGGAGGGCACATTCGTGCCGCTTCTCGGCGCCATACGCGATCAAGCCAACGAAATGTTGGCTCGACGAGCCTCGCCTTGCGAGGCTGCCAAGCAGCTCCTGCCTATGTACAAGCAGCTCTTACGAGAGCGGCAGGAACAGGGGTCCCTCGCGTATCTCGTCAGTCGCTTCCAGTGCACCATTTATAGCAGCTCCACCTGCCTGAGCCCTGCCTTCACACCGCGCACTACTGCTCTCTCTCTCTCTCTCTTTCTTTCCCCAGGCTTGAGGGCGTGCCCTCTCTCTCTCTCTCTCGCCCTCTCTCTTTCACCAAGGCTATGGTGGAGGGTTGTTGCCCTGCGCCGCGCACTTGTGCTCTCTTGCTTACTTGCTTGCGGGGCGTGGGGCCTGACAAACAACCCTCCCAGATCCCCAGGGCACAGCGCTAAGCCTGTGTTCGTGTCCGACATAGGATCTGGACACTCGGACTGGCACGGCTCTTTCCCCAACATCAAGCTTGGCTTGTGCTCTCTCTCTGTCTCTCTGGTGTTACATCAGAATCTGGCATGCCCTGAGTAATTTGTTTCATTACGTCTCGTGCCTCGGAACGGTCTGCCGGGCTTTCCGACAACTTGTCATGGCATTGGAAACCCCCAGAACAGAAACCCCACGACTTGTGCGCGAAGGACGTATCGACCTTGAGAGCCTCCTCCAGCAAGGGTCCGTTGAAGTCGTACTGGGCACCTTCTGAAACTCAGAAGGCTTGTACAAACTCGCAAACACGCTTTAGGCCTTTCTGAGGAGCGCCGTTGCTTGTGGTGCACTGATGTTCAGCCAAGTACCCGAAGTCATGACCCAGAAATACAAGTGCCCCCTATGCTGTCAGAAAGACTGTTGCAAAAGGATGGAAAGAACCCATGCCCGCCTTCGCGTCGTTCCATGCAGCAGGCAGTCACGCTGCGACCCAGTTTCACCTCCAAGTTTGAGTCTGAATGAAACCTGAGACCCCGATGGCTTCACCTCCGTGTGAAGTCGGTTAGCCCGGATAGCTTCGAGGTGTCAGCCATTAGAGCCGGGGCCGTCCTTAAAGCGCGGCCGGTCCAAGCAATCGAACAGCTGATGCCTATCACGGCTTAGCACACAATCACACACTCCACACCTCCAGCTCGGACCGCACTGCTTCCCGCGCTGCCGTCACTTTGGCTGCCGGAGAGCCATGATCACAGACGAGGATGTGGGTAACGCCAGAAGTGGGCCTGGCTTCCGGTTCTCGGATTCTCGGAAGGCATAGACTCAACAGATTTTTGGATGTGTTTGGAACTTGATTCGGGCTTGACTCTTGGTGGCAAGGTTTTTTTTAGCACATAGCACGCATGCTTTTGCCCCTTGCCACCGTCAGCTCACATTCTTATTCTTGGGAGCCCGACTTTCTCTTGGAAGGGTAAGGATCTTGAACCCGGACACCTGAGCCGACGATAAAGCGTACGTCTCTAAAATCATTTCTTGTATCCAGGCCTCTTTGACTTCCCGGGTATCATAGTATCCCAGGAAAACGCGGGCCAGGCGGCTAGATCCCGAAAGACATCCTGAAGCCCTGAATCTCATAACCTTTCCTGAGCCCCAGCTAAGAATCGGGCGTCAAGTCGCCCAGCTTGTCCGCAAGCATCGTGGCCATCTCGGAAGCTCCACAGGCCTCGGCCTGGGGATACACGACCATACTCACATGTGCATGCGTCTATGTGTGTGTGTATGTATGTATATATATATATATATATATATATATATACATATATATATATACCTATATATATATACATATATATATATATACATATATATATATATATATATATGTATGTAGGGGCATGTTTATACATACATACATACATGCATACATACATACATACATATATATATACATATATATACACATATTTTTTGCATTTGTCTTCGGACCTTGCGAGATTTATGTGGGCTTGGGCAGAAGCCTTCTTCCACGGCTTCGACAGGCTGAACATGGCTAGCCGCCAAGTGAGGATGTGCAGAGTGCTCCACTTCTGCGCCACTGTCACTGGCGACCAGGATCTCATCATATGTGGACGGTCTGAAGACCCGATCGACCCCGAAATTAACCCGGTCCTTGTAAATGGCCGGGCACAAGCAGACCAGGCTGGGCGCTATAGTGACCTGACTACGGAGAAATCACTGTGTCCCGAAGCTGCCGAGGCTCCGGGATATCTCCGGCTAACCTCATGTCATAACATAAAACATCGCAAGCGTTGCCCTGGCTCAAATTATTCTGATGGCAAGGCGCGCTCAAGCAAAATGCTTTCAGGATCCAAGGCTTGGACTCTCTAATTGTTTTCTGTGAAACTGACCTGTATTTACGCATCTATCTATCTCTAAATCCGAATCTCCCTATCCAAGTTGCCTCAAGGTCGGAGGCCGCACTCGCAGCCTCTGGCATGGTCTTGGTCAAGGTGTCACTGGGCCCGATGAGCAATGGCAACAAGAGAACCTCCATTGTCAAGGCTTGGTGCGAGCATGTGGCTATAGAAATGTGTATATACATGTGTATATATACACTTAAATGCAGTGTGCATGTGTGTATATATAAATATATAGAAATGTATATATGTGTGTGTGCGTATCATATGCAGTTATAACATATAACATATATATATATAGATAGATATAGATATAGATATAGATATAGATATAGATATAGATATAGATATAGATATAGATATAGATATAGGTATAGATATAGATATAGCATATGTCTGTATGCACCTTCCATCTATGCATATGGGCTTTTGGAAAGAGGAAGTAAGGCCCGAAGGTTGGACGAATCCGTATCGGGGAAGGACTTGGTCTCTACGTCAATATGCCGAGGTCGCAACCTTCAGTGTCGTCCAAACTGAACCGCCAAAGACTGTGGTGAGGGCATTCCGGTTCGGTTCCTCCATCATTAGATGATGCCAGCCCCTCGGCCAGAAGTGTCGCGTCGCTCTTCTGTTGTGGGGGCTTCCTGTTTGTTCTGCCCTTGTAACTGCAACAGGCCGGGCCAACCGTACTGCTTCTCCCGCCGTGGATTACAGGTCCATCCTTGATGACGGGTTCGCACCCATTTGTCTGACTGGTGCCCCCACGCAAGAATCGTTGTAGGGGCTGGCACACAGGACAGCTGGACAATGTGAGCATGTTCTTGAAGCTGTCCCAAAGCAACGGCCCTGAGAACGATTTAATTAGCACTCATGTGGAGACTGGGCAGTTGCAGAAGCCACGCACGCGATGAACTTCGTCGACCCTACGGAAGGAATGCGTCTATCGCAAGAGCACCAGAAACAAAAAGCCTACAGGAAAAGAATGCGCCTTGGCATCACTGCCTTCCTCCTCAGCCACGCGCTTCAACCATGGGCCCAAGACCTGTGCCGATACGCTCATGGCACAGAACTGCAGACCTTAGCATACTCTGGCTGCATTGCAGCTGCTGCTGTTGTTTCCGCCTTTGCTGCTGTTGCTGATGTTGCCAGGCCAGCTGCGTCCGATGACGAGGTGTATGACGACTGATGCTGCGGCATTCAACTTATCACGATCAATCACCGTTGCTTCCCCCAGCGATGAGCGGATGTGGTGTGCGGGTGTGGGGAAAACTGCATCGCCGCGCTGTTCTTGCTATCATTGGGACTTTCGCAAGCTGCACCAAATCTTGGCAATTGCTATTGATGTCTTTGCCACAACACAAGTCAGACCTGCTAGAATCCAGACGTCTTGCCTCACCAGGCTTGCCATCCAACTTGTCCTTCGAGATTTTGTCCTTGCAAGCTTCGGGCTCGGAACTCGGAACACATGCCTTTCGGACATTTGCGGCTGAAGAGTGGTGAAGGTGGAGTGTTGAAAACAGACGCCGCATCGACTGCCACCGTCACTTACAGCGATAGACATTCTGCCTTTGAGTATCACAAGAAAAAAGTCTGCCATGAACGAAATTCTGCTTGGCTGGCTGTACTAGCCCACTTGCACATGCGCATGTAAAACATCTAATGGCTGACACAAGTATCACATTTTCCTAAGAAAGCAAGAAAAATCCGAGACGAGCATCCGGTTTGCAACAACCCGCTCAACCGAATCTACAAGGTTTCTAGAAAGCTACATCGTGGGGCAGGTTTGCACAAGAGGCCAGTATGCCATGCAAACAGCCTTGCCATGAATACATTATATTGTGTATATATATATATATATATACGAGCCATTACATCTGCGAACTTCGCTGTCGAGGGGCCGCGAAGCGCGCCGACACGGCCTGGCTTGGCTTCATCGCTTACTTGGAGGCTCGTGTGGCTAGTTCAAGAGTGGGGTTATAAATCCCCCCACTACGTGTTGTAATTCTAGTAAATCTAGTTATAAGTAGGATTACAATAGTATAGTTATCCTACTTATAACTTATAACCCACTTACATATAACTCCCCATGAACCTCCAAGTGCACCCACTTCGGCCACTGCGCCCCTCTCCAGGGCCTTCCCGGTGCCCTCTTCTGCTTCTACAGGTGAGCTCGCAAAAAAAGGCAGGATCGGAATGACTCGGGATGACATGACATGACCAGAAGAATGGTGTTGCACAAAGGGCCGCAAGTGTGAAATTTGAGCTGCGGAGCAACGGCTAGATCAAAGCCATCTTCACGCAGTGTCTGCAGTTGCGAGCCCCACTGTGCGTCTAAATCTGGGGAGACTTCGTGGCTCTGCCAATGGCTGACTTGAACGAACTGCTCGCAGATCCATTGTGGAGCCCATCGCAGTAACCCCCGACTAGATGCTTTGACCCTTGCATCACAAAGCCCGTGAACGATTCAACCGCGGGCTGAGCAAGCCCTTGGAATCGACAGTGACGTACCGAAGTTTGCGTCAGCCAACAGCCCGAACAAAAAGAATCAAATCCCAATCAAATCAAACACCCAACCGATGCCCAACACCCGGAACCCGGAGCAAGCCAGCGGAAAGCCAGAAAGCCCTCAACCAACCCCAAACTGCTGCAACCCATTGTTCTGAAGGACCCTGTGGCCCCAGTCGAAATCCAAACAGTGCCGGAACCTAGGACGCTCGTCAAAAATTCAACACAAAAAGCCTCAAACAAAACAAAGGTCCTAAAGTTGCCACATCAGACCCTAAGCTACAGGAAAGCCTCAACGGTCCAGCTTCTGCGTCGCTGCAGCGCCGCTGCGAGGCGTCGAAGGGATTTGGTGGCCTATGGGATTGAGCGTTTGGCTTTTATGCCACCCGCCTAACTGAGCCGCACTGCAGGGAACACTGGGCTTGGGGGGTGTAGGGTGCAGGGTCAGAAGCTGTGATTTGCAATCGCGGGAGGCGAGACCGGGACGAGCAGCAGCCATGCTTATAGGCCAGCTCACACTGTGCAGCCTCAGGCTTCAAAGACCCGTTGTCCACCAACGCGACCCGCGTCTTCTTCTGCCGTCGTCGACCCTGCCACGTGGCTGGTTCGACTCATGTGAAGGCTTACAGAGCTTACTAAAGAGTTTACTAGTTCTCTTGACAGATGAAGGCGGCCAGTACGGTACTGCGGGTGCTCCCAGGTGCCGCGAAGTATGAGGACCATCGTGACCACGACTGTTCCGATGACGTTTTGTCGACTACACCTGACATTTAGTGCCTGCTGCACACGACGCACCACGGCAGTAGCGGCCACAAGAAGCAGACTCGCAGCTGCAAGGCCGCGCCGATCCATGATTTGACGAGAAATGATTCCTAAACCTTGAAAGATGTCTACATCCTCGACACTGGTTTAGAACGTAAACCCTCACGAGGAAGCTAAACTGAACCCTAGGCAGCTGATGCGTCTTCGGAGATAGAAGGTAAAGTAAAAACATCCCAAGCTGCCACTCCCGGTCAGTGAGATTCCTGAGAGAGCGATACGATTAACATGGAATAATGCTTGAGTTGCAGTCTCTAGGTGACTCTATCGTTTTAATGAATCTGGAGCCAGCGCCGAAGACAGCCAAGTCCGATGCTGACAGCCAGGTTGCAATACCACTGGGCCCAACTACGCGGGCAAGCCCGGGCCCCATCTGCATTTTGCCAAGACATCAGCCTCAAGACCGCGTTGCCATGGAGCAGAGTCCACCGACGTCGGCTCTTGGTGCTGATCTTCTTCGCAGCGTCACGTCCTGGAAGGCATATCATCCGCGAGGATGAGGTGGTCCTGGTGTCTGGTGTCGGGCAAGTCTCTGGCAAGCTCACGTGGATCCGGGGCCCCGCAGATGAGACGTTCAACCACAAGCAGTGCTCTCCTTGTCGAAGAGTTTACCTTTTACACGCACTGGAACGAGTGCCTCAAGAAAGTCTGAGTCGTGCTGGCCACGGAGGGCATGTTGCTACTGATGCTCTGCGAGCACGAAAGCGGCAGCACCAGATTGATCAACTCCAAGCCTGGCATCTCCGAGGGCGACAGGTCATCTGTCAAGGCTGTCAATGCCCCTTTCAGTGCTCGAAGAGAATTCTCGGCCCGTCGCTGTGCAACAGCATAAGGCAAGGATGTCTCAAAGGTCCCAATGTCAAGGAGAAGGAGAGGAATTGTCAACTCAGACACACGACAGCGATGGCAATCCCAAAGCATGCGCTTCAAGGCCCGATGAACTGGAGCTGCTACTTCGTCGGCCGGAGCGGTTGCCAGCGGTGCGGCCACCAAGAGGTGAAAAGCAGCCTGCACCTGACCCCCGAGGTTCGAGTGTCGGGTGCAGAAGTAGTCGCCAGCACGCAAAGGCCCAGAACTCGAAAGTTCCTGTTCCTTGATGGCCTGAAGCTGCTCACTCAGAGGGCTGAAGTGGAAATCGCTCACCCGAGCACAGCGCATGGCAAACTCTCGCAGCATCGATGCCTGAGAAGTCTCGAATTTCAGGTGTTCCAGCGTCGGGATCACAATCCCGCGTAGCTTATCTGAGTAGGCGTTTGGGGACAACGTCACCGGCGGTGGCAATCTTGGTGCCTCCCAAAACCGCAGCGATGCCGAGCGAAAGAAAGGAATACCTCCGAACTGTCCGCGAACGACATGGTTGGGCAGAGCACGAGTTTTTGTCCACGCTGCCTGGATCCTTGGCAAACCCCCCGGCTCGTGGCTGGCGAAAGCGCTGCCTGCAACAAATGAATCCTGCCGCCCGTAGCTGTCTATGCCCAGGAAAGTTTTTGGTAGCTGTGGGCCAGCACCGTCACCGTCATCTGCCGTGGGGACTTCCGTCTCCGCGGCACCTCCGGCAAAGTCCATGACATCGCCGATCCACAGGCGCAGAACGAAGAAGGCCTGACGTCCGAAGACTGTGCGCACCTCACAGATTTGTGTGAGGCGGCTCCCTTCTGGCAGGGCTACTTGCGGCTCCTCCTCACTGATGGGGTTGGTCTCCTCAGGTGCCAGTGGTTCGGGTCGCAACGGGCGTGCGAGCTGCCTGAGCAAGTTCGGCTCGGAGTGTACTTCATCCTCCGGAGCCACGCCGGTTTCTTCAAGCTTTGCCATCTCCATCTCCCGCTGGAAGAAGTCGACCACCAGCTCCCTGTAGGATGCTTTCTGCTTTCCCTTTAGCTGCTCGATCTCACTTTGCCAGTGCAACTCTAGCGCATCAATCTCACTCACATGCTGACCGACCAGAACGTGAATGTCCACTGGAGCATTGCCGTCCTCCTCTTTCTCCTGACGGACCTTCTCCATCTCCATGCTCTGACAACCTTGGACATTTACCATGATTGAATATGCGGCATGGGCTCGAGAGGGGCGTGGCGCGTGTTGCTGCTGAGTCTGAGGTCTGAGAGCCGCGCGCTGCAGCTCGGAGATTGCAACCGCACGGCCCGCTCGTAGCTCGCGAATGCCCTTAAGGTAGGACTCCTCCAAGGTGCCAATGGTGCGGAAGAACGTGGGGCGATGCCGCAACAGGAAGTCATAGGCGCACCAGAAGGTCAGGTCCCAGCTCTGCGACCCGCCGCAACTTCGTAGTTGCGGGCCCCAGGAACAGCTGTCTGGTGGTATCAAGCCTCGCAGCTGCAAAGCTCGCAGCCTTTCGTTGATGCTCCCCGGCTGACTGCGCACAGGGTTCGCGGGCTCCGAGGACGGCAGCGATATGGCAGAGGGCAAGTCGTTTGCTAGGCTTCCATCTTCCTCCTCTGCCAAGGCTTCTCGAACTGCCAGGGTGGCGTACTCAAGCGTCTGATGGAAGAAACAGCTCGGCAGCCTCGGTGGGAAACGCTGCTCTATCCGCAGATCTGCTTATACCTGGCTCTAAATCTTAAAGACTTAACCGTTAGGTCTTTAAGACTCAGCACCAGGTATGACTTCACCTGACACTGACACATTTCAACCTCTCAGCGGCCCAGAAGCTGGCCCTGTTGGAAGACCTCCAAAACCCGCATGAGGACATCATCACCTGTCGCTCTCAGCGTCCAAGACTACGACTCTCGGGCTTTTGCCGTAAGGCTTTTGGATTCTTGTACCGTTCTGTGACCACAACGAATCTTGACACGCCCAGTCTGCTCAGCCGAACTGGAAAATTGGCTTCAGAAGACGAAGCCTGCTCTCCCTGAAACTTTGAGGTCCGGACCTGCCCAAAGCTGCAAGCTCAGCACAAACTGATTGGAGCCCAAGCGGTGGAAGACCCGCAGCGGGATGTCGCACGGGGCCTGCAGCACCGAGGAGCCCTTGGGTCTGCCTAATGCCCGCAAAGTGCAGAATGTGTCAGACATGTATCTCGCGCTCTACGACTGGAGTGGGTCATGACTTGTCAGGCCGGCGAAATTGAAATGTCTCGAATCGCGCACGAAGTCGTAAGCCAGCCCTGCACCTCTCAGAGGGGCTCTCTTGACCCACAGACATTCGAGCAAACACTTCAGGAAGCTCACCCACCCCGTGCACCCCAATTAAACTAACTGCAGGAAGCTCGAGGCGCAGAACCCTGTCCCAGGAAAAACGCACAGGAAACTAATGCTGCAAGAGCCGTCACAATCCGTCACAAGCATACGGTGTAGATATTCGGCCCTCCCTTCCTACAATCAGAACCAAAATCTCTCCTGAAAGCAAACCTCCCACCCCCAAGCCCCGGCCTCCACGGGTTGCATCTCCTGGAACCCAAGCTGTCGACATGGCAGGAGTCTCTTGACTCTGGCTTGCAGGGGCTTCTTGGAGATCGGAGGATCGAAAGTTGGCTTCGAGGGGTTTTCGTCCAAGCGATCTGGGTTGATCGTTGAGGTGAAGGAAAAGGCGTGCGACTTCCCAACACGGACAGAACCTGTGCCCACGCGCACACGTTAAGTTCACACCATAACCAGAGACCAGAGGAAACCACATGTACTTCGAACATCCTCAGCCTCAGAGACAAGCAAGTTCTGCATACCGTGCGGGATAACTGTCTGGAAGGTCACCTCACAGGACACAGGATCCTCTGCGTATATTCTTCGGTGAGCACTCTAAACTCTAAACTTCTCGGTGGGCACTGCGGGGATAGGCCTCCAGAGTCACTCTGTGGCATGTTTCGACGAGATTACAGGGGGCGGTCGAGAATTCTGCCTCAACATCTAGCGACCCCAGACCGAAGGTGGGGAAAAACACCGAGATGTCGTGCGTATGTGAGAAGTTCTCACGAAGCTTCACATAGAAAAAGAAGTTGCTGGCTGGCCATCTGGCCGGTCCATCTTTTTGGTACCTCCGAGACCTGCGCATGACTCCAGTGGATTCCAGTGACTCGGTTGGGAACGGTAAATCACCAGCTCTGGAGAGTGCCGCATTCTGTACTCTATCCGAGGCCTGTAACACGATCGGACATCTGACAGTCACTAAACTACCGAGGCGAGTAAGTCAAGGCCAGTCAGACCTCAGGAGAACAGACGCCAAAGCGCCCACGTGCAAGGGTTTAGGTTAACCCTCAAACCACACACACCGCAGGCACAGGCTACTTATTTTACTCACCTCGTGCCAAAAGGGGCTACCAAGTACAGCTATACAACGGCGGTAGTCAGAACATGCTTTATATCCTGACACCCCTCCATGGCCAGCTGAATCCTTGAGCTGGACAGCTGACCTGCACTACTCACGGGTTGCAGTCTGTACAAGGACCAAAGCCTCTTTGCGTAGCCTCAGCCCTCTGCAACGTGTACGGGTTTTGGCCCAGGTGTCTACAGTGTCTCCTATGAAACTTCTTGCCCTTACGGGTGACGTAGACGGGGCTACCCGCATTCGCCTCTAGACCTCGTCGGTCCACGCGGCCTCCAGCTGTAGGGGCCGGCTTCGTTGAAACACGTGGCGTGGTCCACCACACAAACGCAAACTTGATCCATCGCCAAATGGTCTGGATCGCCAAGATATGGATGATCAGCATGTAGATGAAGAAGGAAACGTCTTCAGTCTCGAGCTGGCGCTCCTTCGGCTGCCCCGTAGCCACGCCAAAGGACGCGAACAGGCACGCCATGACCAAGCCCCTTGTGAGAGGCATGCCCTTGACTAGCTCTGTCACTCTTGAGCCTGAAAGAGCTTTCGTGCCCAAGTCGGCCCAGTTACTCTTCGTAGGTTCCTTCTGCACCGTAAGCTGCTTTCTCTGAACACAGTCCTGTATCCAAAGCTCCTTCATGGACAAGTGCTTCACCTTGCCCGAGCCCTTGCGTGTCGCGATTCCCTTCGCTGCGCTCGAATCGGTTCTCAGGGTAAGCTTCAAACCCTTAAACCCAATCCGTTCCCAGATCTGCGCTGTCAGCAGTCCGGCGGCAGCTCCTCGCACCAACGCGTAAAACTCAGCCTCTCCAGAGCTGAGCGCTATCACCGATTGCTTGGCACACGAAGCATCGATGAGATGCTTCCCAAATCTCTCAGCGTAGCTGGACATAGACTTGCGCGTGCGCTTGCACGCTCCCCAGTCCGAGTCCGTAAGCACCACAGCTTCCTCAGGCTGCTCCTGGTACTCGTAGTGCCAAACTTCCTTCGGGTACTTCAGAAGGTAACGGCCTAGGTGCTTGAGCTTGAGCTCGTGTTCAACCGTAGGCTTTGCCATGCCAGAGGTGATCTCCGACAAGGCATACTGGATCGTCGGGCGATCCTGGGACAGGTAAAGCGCAGTACCAGCGAGTCTCCGGAACTTCGCTGCAGCCTCAGCGTCCAAAGGATCTTCGAGATCCCTGCGGCCTTTCCCACATTCCGTAGAACATGGGGCGTCTGCGCTCTTAGCGTCCGTAAGCCCGAGCTCCTCAACGATCTGCCGCGAGTACTTAGGATCAGCTTCCCAAGTGAACCCGCGCTCGCTCCATCGAATGATGCGGTGCAGATGATCGCCATGCGTGGTCTGGCCTCCGAACTCCTCAGGGCCAATCCGTGGCAATATCTTGCTCTCAAAGGATTGCATCATCAGCGCATCCAGTCGATCCAGATCGTCGCTTTCGCCCTCAGCGATAAAGTCGTCGCCGTGGCAGCTCAAGGTCACGCACCACTCGTCGTGGTAGAAGAGGCCAGGGATTCCTGGAACCTCCCAGAAACCTGCCTCCGTCATGACCTCACACACGCGCTTTGACCACTGTCGCGAAGCCTCACGTGTGCCATTCATGGCTTTGAGCAAGTACCAGAGCTTCGATTGATCGAGATCTTTCGGAGGGACGACCGCAATTTTGCCCGTGGCCACCGCATGAAAGAAGGCAACAGAAACATCATACCGGGCAATAAGCTTGCGCCGGTTGGTCCTGCCAGCCTTTGCAGTGGCTGCAGCTGAAAGTACCATGCGGTGCGTCCGCAACGGCGGTGTTCCACTGAAAACGTCGTCGCGCTCGTGGTCGTTGATCTCTTGGGCTACGCAGCGGCTGCGCACCCCATTTGGATCATTGGGCAATGGTTTCCAACCATCCACCCACCGGCTTCGGACTATCTTTAGCCCCTGCCGTCGCGCCTCCTCCCAAGAGATGTCCTTCTTGACAGAGTGTTCCTCCATCTTGTCCAGCTCGCGCCCTCTTGCAGTCTTGACCTTGTCAACGGGAAGGGGCTGGCCTGTTCGCTCGTCGTAGGCACCAAGCTCCTCCACTCTGCCGTCCAGAGGGTAAGCAAACAAAGGCTCCCACTCGCCTTTCTCGTGGAGCGTGGGCAGTCCCCCCATCAACTCCTGGTCCTCAAGAGGACGCTTTTCACCTCTTGCTTCTGGCGTCTTCTGCTTCTTCGCTCCTTGTGAGCTCTTTCCAGTAACGCGGCGCTGCCCGCTGTCACTTGAAGGAGCGGGGACACCCGCATCCTCAACCTCTCGCTTCTGGCCTGACTTAGCCTCAGAGGTCCCCTCCATGGCCCTTGGCCTTGAAGGCTGACTCGGCTCGGTGCTTCCCGACTCCAAGTCTTGGCCGGTGCCCTGGGGCATCTCGGCCTGACCTCCTTCAGTCTCCATGGGTCCCGCAGGCGTCCCAGGGACTGGTGTACCAGGCGTTCCTGGCACCGGTTGCCTCGGGTACAACTTCTCGAACCTCTTACGGCACTCGTCGTTGTGCCGCTTTGGGTTGTCATCGTCACACTCACAGCCAGGACATCCGGGTGTCTTGCCGTGCTTGATCTGACGCTCCAAGGTGATATACACCGAGGGCTGCCTGCGACCTGGAGTCGCTGGGGCCTTGTTGTCTGAAGGCACGGTGGTTGGCTCTCCGCGCGGTTGCCAGGGAAGCCCAACCATCCCCTCGAGGTGTTTCAGCTCCCACCTCTTCTCTTCTGGCCTTCGCCAGATGCTTCTGCACCGACGGATCCCCTGAGCAGTGCCCAGGAAGTGCTCGTCGGAGGCAAGAGACTTGCCTAGCCAAACTCCAACTGACGTTTGCTTGTCCAGCTTGCCAGTCTTCTCTTTGTCAAGCTTGTAGTGCACGACCTCGCAGCACTCAGCAACTTCACCGCGGAAGTCCCGGCCTCGAAGCCTTTCGTAAGGTGTTCTCCCGTCCTGCTTCACCAAGAAACGGGAGATGAGCCACCCTGCGTGCCGCACCAACCACGGAAAGACAACCCCCTCAGTCTCCAGGGGCTTCTTGTAGCGATTCTCCAGCGCGCTCGCAAGAGTTCGCACCTGACGCGCCAGCTCCAAAATGGCTCGCTCGGCCGCGCCGTTAGATGCGTGAGAACCTTTCGGTGCAGTCTGGTGCTGCACGCTGCCAGTCCAGGACTTGGCGGCACTTTCAGCAAGTGCCCGGATGCTATGCTCAGCATCGCTCATCATGATGACCTTTTGGCGCCCGCAGAACTTGAGCGCTTCAGTCACCAATCCAGTGGCATACGGGTTAACGCCCTTAGCCACCACACCAGAGAAAACACAACCGGACTTTTCGTCCACGATCACCAGAATGGGAAGGAGACCATCCTTCTCATCCTGAGGCACCTTGACCTCCTCCACGGAGTTCACTGGGCCCTTCAAGGCCCGTCCCAGAAAACAGTAGTCTAGGGAGATGCGCGCCACCTCCGACGCGCGACCGCTGGGCTCCCGAGCTGAGTGCGCATCCTCACGCACCTTGCCGTGCATGCAGTGATCGCACCAGCTTCGCATGGGCAGATGCGTAAGCATATGCTCGTCAAACTCGGCTTTGCTAACCGTGTCCGGGATCTTCTTTGTCTTCGGCCGCCGCGTGGCCTCAGACACTTCCATTGGCACGTCGCCAATCTCCGGAAGCCTCTGGGCGGGGCCACCCGCGCCAGGGCCGTCAGTAGAGCTCCCTGCACCGGCGGAGTTACCCGCACCAGGGTTCGCAGCGGAACTCCCCGCATCGGCGGGGCCGCCCGCACTTGAGCTTTGGCCAGGCTGAGCGGAGTCACCCGCTTCACCAGGCTCCTCGCCTTCACCTGCCAGCGCCTTTGCTGGCACCGTCTTCTTAGCAGCCCTCGTAGCTGCTAACACGTCTGGGTCTTCAACCCTTTCACTTTCTTTCACCACGTTCACTGGGAGCCAAAATACCCCTCTCTTCTTTCTGAGTTGCATCGTGTCTTTGGTCTCTCCTAGGGCTTTCCTAAGCTTACACGCATGCTTATCTAGAACCATACACTGCACACCGGGGCCAATCACCGTCCAGGTGCCTTTCGTGGCCGCTTGGCCAGCAGAAAGCACCGAAAACCTAACCTTTTCAGACTCGGCGTACTCTACCGAAAAGGTCCCAGCACTGGTTTCGAGCTGGCTCCTAAGCCTCTGGTCGCTAGCCAAGGGCTCACCCGTAACGGTAACCATTCCAGGCCCCGAAACACGAGAACCCAACAAAGCACCGGAGTCAAACCCTTTCCGAAACAGGTGAGACCCTGCCCCCGTATCTACAAGAACCTCGGTCTCACTGGCCTCGGTGCTGGGCGTTGCCGCCACCACACCAAAGCAAAGGTCCGGCTCCTGAGGCGATGCAGACATGGGCTCTGG